GGAGGGAGTTGAGGAGCCAGGAAGAAGGTGGGGGAATGGGGAGTGGGGTTGGGATCGGGGAGTAGGGAGAGGGAATAGGATCGCGCTGTGGGGGGGGAACTGGAGCCCGCGTGGGGGTTGGGGGGAAGCGGGGGAAAGTAGCGGTGGGGAAGGGCGGCCGGGAGGTCGTGGGCCGGAACGGTGAGCAGCACGGGGGGAAACGGGTCAAGATCGGGAGGGTGAGCGACGAAGAAGAAGAAGAGGAAGAAGAAGGGGGAGATGATGACGATGAGGAGGAGGGAAGAGGAAAAGGGGACGACGATGGTGAAGGAGGAGAGGAAGAAGAAGAGGGGGAAAAAGAAAAGAAAAGAAAAAAAAATTATTGGTCACTTACCTGCGCGTCGGCTTCAGGACCGGTGACATGGCAGCGACGATGACGAAGGCAGCGAGGTGCTGACATGGCGAATCTGGTGTAGGAAAAAGAAAAAAAATCCCTTTTTTGAACTTTTTTTTTTTATGGTGTTTCTTTTGATTTTAATACTTGTTTTTTTCGTTTTTTATTTTTTAAAAATAACAAAAAGCATCAAAATCCAAAAAAACAAATATGGGGATGTAGGGAATTTCCACAACCCCATATATATATATTTGGCCTTTAATTTTATTTTTTTTAAATCCCTGGGTTCCATGCCCGCAGTCGGCCGCGGGGGTCGACCGCCGCCGGCGGGGTCCCGACCTCATGTGACAAAAAAGCCCGCGGTCATGACCGCGGGTGATACATAGCCGGTCGGGATCGAGTCGGGATTAGTCGGGATCGACTCGGAATCGAGTCGGGATCGAGTCGGCAGCGAGTCGGCAGCGAGTCGGGATTAGTCGGGATCAAGTCGGGATCGAGTCGGGATCGAGTCGGGATCGCTCTCTCTCTCTCTTTCTCTCTCTCTCTCTTCTCACTCTCTCGCTCTTTCTCTCTTTCTCTCTCTTTCTCTCTCTCTCCCTCTCTCTTTCTCTCTCTCTCTCTCCTCAATCTATCAGTCAATCAATCAATCAATCAATCAATCAATCAATCAATCAATCAATCAATAAAAGGAGGAGGTGGGGGGGGGAGGGAGGAGGCATCGAAATCAATCAATCTATTAATCAATCAATCAATTAATCAATCAATAAAGTCTGCATTTTGACATTGATTGGGTGTGATTATTGGTATGGTTGCCTTTCGCGGGGAGGTACGGGCGGGGGGGGATGTGTTTCTCTCCCTCCTGATTCAGATCACTCAAGATACCTATGGCGCATGGCGCCCAACAATACCTCCCGACCAAGAAGAAGTAAAGGAAGAAGAAGACGAAGACATGGAAGAAGACCAAGAAGAAGAAGAAGAAGAAGAAGAAGAAGAAGGAGAAGACAAAAAATCCACCAAGACGACGACGAAGAAGAAGAAGACGAAGAAGAAGAAAACGAAGCCGAAGAAGAAGAAGAAGAAGAAGAAGAAGAAGAAGAAGAAGGACGACCAGAGTTTAAGGAGGAAGAGGAACCTACCAGCAGAAGCCATATCTTCCTCTTCTCTTCTTCTCGTTAAATGCCGCAAAATATCTTCTCATCAAATGTCGTCAAATGCCGTCAAATGTCGCAACTCTCTCTCTCTCTCTCTCTCTCTCTCTCTCTCTCTCTCTCTCTCTCTCTCTCTCTCTCTCTCTCTCTCTCTCTCTCTCTCTCTCTC